TATAATCAAATTTTAAAACTCCGTATAATTCGTTAGACGATTCAAATCGTCTTGATTTTAATTGATTTCTGTTGCATATGTGAATAATCTGGTTGCATGTACACTAAATGCGGGTCAATAAAGGTCAACAAAGTAAAAAAAACATTCGACATGAAACCTGTATCTTCCTGAAATTCCTAACAGCAGTTGATTGGCTGGAAGCGTCCGAGTGCAAATCCGTGTTTCTTGTGTAAACTTAACGCGTACTTTTTACAATAATCGATTGCTAAAAAGTGTACTATATATTATCAGTATGAAAAAGAATTTCAAGTATTTTTTATTGAAACGTTGACGTAAAAAAGGAATTTTATTAATCTTATTACTCTTAAAAATAAAAAATTATCAAAAATTAATTTAAATGATTATTTGTTAGGGTTATCGATCAATGGTCAGTTGAAAATAATTTAACTAGTTAACAGATGGTCTGTTCGCTTATTATTTTAAAGATAATCTTAAATACCTGAAGGCGTATTAAACAACAAAATGTAGTGATTTATAGAAACCGGTGGCACATATTGCATTGACGTTATAATAATACATTTGAGATTAATAAAACACGATAATTTATAGAAATTCAAAAACAAAATACCTTCTTAACTAGCCTTACGGCGTTCGAAATTCATTCATATCTGCTCGCTCTGCCCACGTCATGAAAAATTAATATTTTGTATAAAGTATTTAATTTAATTTATCAAATAATAAGTCAGTTATGAAGATTTTTAGTTTGAAACTTTATCATCATGAAATGTCTGAAAATTTGACAGTCTGACGTTCACGTAGCATAACATATTTACCCTTTGGCATTGTAATGTTGAAAAGTACAACTTTAAACTAAAAACCCAATCGAATATTTTATTGAAAATTAAAGCCGTTTTAAATGAAAATAGTACAGTGCTGGTAACTGTTTTAAATGTACTTGGTTTTAATTTTAATTAATGCCTCTCGTTATAATTCTTCGTTTTACATCCTATTGTTTTGAATTTTTTCTATAGTATTTACTACCATAGTTAAACGGGAGAATATAATTATTCAAGATTTTATGCATTCTTTTAATTAACGTGAAAATAATAGTAGCATAAAAAATAATCTAATGGGGCAGAGTTTTAGTTAATTTAACTCCATAATAAACTATTGATGAACTGTAAAAATTCTACTGAACATTTTTTATCTCTTGTTTTTATGTACTATATCATATTTATACGATAAGAAAATTTACAGTTATAAATTCAGGATGTGAATCATTTCTAATTTTTTTTTTTCGAGGCTAACGAAAAAGTGTTGTTCACCGACTCGTGTGATGTTTTACCTTCTTGATGTTATCTCCTCAATATTAATCTATTCAACTTTTATCCGTTACGTCAACATTAAACAATAGAAAGTACATTACAATCAATATAATGATATTGCGTTGAATATCAAGTACAATATCATTTGTTAAAAAAGAGTCACCGTCAATGTACTTAATAATCAAATATTAATCGTAATTTTATTTCAGTCCAGGTAATGAATAACAAGTAACCATATAGGTAATAGGTCTGGGTATTGTTCGGCTAGGGGCTATATCAGATGCATGTACTATTTACACTTTCTCAAATGCATCTATAACAAGTTTATACGCTGTTGTTTGGCCATATGTGAACTAAAAGCGTTGCCTCTTTTATAGCTTCTATCCGGTTCCAGCAGAGGATATTTTTTGTAGACTCGATATTTACACGAATACATAAAAACCCAATCACAAGACATGAAGATCTTAATGTCGAGCGTTGCACCGCATTCTATAGATTATATGGCAACATAAAAACAGAGACCATTGCGAGTCTGCTGTTTAAAATTTTACATTAAAAGTTAAAACTAGACTCCTGGAACGTGTCACCAACAGCTCGAATATTAGTTGTTATATGCCAAGTAATTTTGAGTTTTTTTTTTATGAAAAACATGCGTACACGATTATAAGATCAAGATGACTCGTCTAGGCGCCACAAACCTCCTAATGAAACACAACCCGAATTGAGATGATCGCTACATGCAAGTACAATAATCGTAATAACCAAATAATTATTATAATGGTCTGGACGCGTTTGAAACGGTGTTCAGGTTTAATGCGTTGAAACGAAAGCGGCGAGTGTTTGAAACGATAATTCTGGACACAGTAGTCAACCGTCGTAGATCATTGTTATTATGTGTGTACCATAGTTGTAGGACATACATTGTATTGGTAATATTATTGTTGAACAGGCGAGGAACATGAGCTGGTGTTAATAGTAAAAACAAAAACACCGCGTACAACATTAATGAGCTGGCGACTTTGATGGACAACCGGACGACAATTATCACCGAAAAGAAACGCCGTGTGAGAGTCATCCCCCGTACGCGTCCCGGTTGCGGTTAGTGACGACGGCGGCTGCATTACGCCGGACTCTCGTTCGGTCCAAACGGAGGAGCGCGTTCTCCAGAGAAGTATTCGAGGAATGCTGTCGACGGCGATGCCCCCGCCAGGTATTTCTGAACGCGAGGAAAAAATGTAAACGTCCGCCGCCGTTGGAAGTGAATGGGGTGGGGCGGGGACAAATCGGTACACGAGCGCACACAATCGACGCTTGCGGTCCGATGTTGTACATGCCGCCACTTGTGTCCGTCACGGTGGTACTGTGTGCATTTTCGTGTGTCTCCCATGTTTTGTATGCAAAATATGTAAAACCATTACAAGAAAACCTGGCGAACTGTCGATTGCATGTTTTTCGACACGAATGTTCAAGTCATGACTAACAACACTAGACGACCTATCCGTTTTTGCCACGTTGGTTGAAAATATATGACAACTAACGCACTTTTCACACCTTGAAATTTACTCTTCTATAGTTTATCTTTAACATATTGAGCACGCAACTTAATTTTTATAAAATTTTATAGTTTAACGCCATTTATCTTTTTTTTTTTTTTTTATGTTTGCAACAACTAACTTGCTGGTTATTTATGAAAAAAACTACATAAAAAATTAAATTTTGTTTAGTTAACTAAAAGTAGAATAAAAACAAATATCTAATTAATTACAAAATTATATAGGTATTATTTTGTAGAGAATAATGTAATTTATAAATTGACAAATAATTCAACACAAAGTAAAATGGAATAATAATTATCTTTGGTCATAAAGTCACTCTAGCCAGTCATTAACTATAAAAATTATATATTTTTTTTCTAAACCAGTTTTAAGTTAAACCATTCATTTTCTAGAGTTCCACACTTGTATTTTTTTTTTCTTCACCACATGTATTAACCTAGAAAGATATTATATGTAAAAGTAAATACTCTACTTGTGCTTTGTACTATACATAATTGACGTCAATTAATTTCTATAATAATTTACTACTTACTTCAACACGATTTTTATGTTTAGAATATATTTTAATTTTATATTTTTAAATCACAGTATAATGTTTTAAATGAATACATTTATCTAAACTATTTTTAACTTGAAACGTTTATAACTTAATAAATAATGATTTCCTATTTTAGATATTTAGACTTTCTAAAGATTTTATTGAGTTAATGGGAAAATATTGTAATCATAATAACCATGTAAACGAATACGAGCAGATGATATAAAAATTATTTCAAGTATTCAATACCCTTTCTAATTATCTAACTGACCATAAATAAATCTAAAAACGTTTTCATACTGCAGGTGCATTCGAAATATTTTCTCTGAATAGTTAATATTTTCAACTTTTGAATGCTGTATATTTTTTATTTTATTAATTTACGTTTATCTATTTAACTTAATAATTAAGTTATCCAATTTATAAATAAACTAATAAATAGAGAGCTGTGACGTTCAAAAGTACAAGTAGATCTCAAATAAAGAGTTGCTATAGTTACTAAATAGCCAATACAAATATTTTCTTTTAATTGATATTATTACAATTCATATTACAAATACATATTAAAATGTAATCATAATGTATTAATGTAAATATATAAAGTTGACTCTTTACGTTTGAAAAGTGATCATCGCACATTCAACTAATTCACTATTTAATTACGAATGTTTCTAATTAATTGTCTACAATTAATATTAATAGTTGGATATTTATTGATATTTAAAAGATATCGATATTTATTGTATATAATGAGTATTGTCATCGAAAAGCTGTAACTTTGTGTACAAAGTTATAGATGTTAGATTATATAGAATGTAGATATTAAAGTATTTTAAAATTTTATATTATAATAAATTCTTACAATGAAAACTAGGCAAAATTATTAGTTTAACTTTGTGTTAGTGACTTTGGCAGTATATTTTTTATCTAAATAAATTTTATTTTTAGAGAATTTGCTTGAGATTTATTGCAAATAATCAAAATAAAAAAATATTGCATTTATGCAATTATATGCGTTACGAGATCTTATCTAAAAAATCTATTAATTTACATGCAAAAATTATAGATTGAAAAAATTTAAAAGAAATGGGAATTTTGATATTTATTTATTTTTTTATGAACATATAAATAATACTATGAATTAGTTTATAAAATAATGTATGAAGTATTAAAGGATAAATATTTAAATATCTAATTTACATTATAAACATACAGAATATTTTCCTTACGTATTTCAACTTAAGTTCTATTGGAAAAAAAAAATTATTTAAAATAAAAAAAATTTTAATTAAGAACCAACTACTAATAAATCGATAAATAAACATTACCTATAAAAACAAAAAAAAAATTTTAACACTCAAGATAACTTTATATATAAACGAGTAATCAATAATTTTGTATATTCATTGAAGATAGTTATGTTTATAATGTTTACAAACTTTTATGCTTTACATTAATTATTAATTGTAAGCGAAACGAGGAAAAAAATTGTTTATAATTTTTTTTTTAGTTAATTATATTTTTATGAATAAGTCTAGTTAAAATAACTTATATTAAATGAAATGGTAATTTTATTTATAGGCCGAGGGATTGAACTCAATTGTAGGAAATGCTTTTAGAATGGCTTACGCTGCTCAATTGGAGCTCGAAAGAAGATCGGTGACAAACTCACCGAAAATTAACTTAAACAACACTTCATGGGTAAATAAAATATAATTATATTTATCTTTTAATATGCTATAAAATTCCTAGTACATGCATATATCGATGCATAAGATATTAGTTAAAATATGAATTATATCATAGCTCTGAAGTGTAATTTTATTTTTGTAGAATAAATCGGCAAATAAATTAAATGTTCAAAGAATTCAGAACACATCACCGCTAGCAAAGAGATTAGCTGAAAGTCCTAAACCAATTCCTCCTAAAACTTTGCCTGGTATAAGGCCATTTGAAAATAGCAAAGATTTAGATATCACTTCTAGTCAAGTTTCCACGCCTACTAGTAGTGATGATAGTCCTGATATAAATACATATAAACGTATGATAGAAAAACCACATTTAATAAAACGTCTGGCCATGGGTTTATCCGTTCATACCAATTGTTCGAATGAAGACTGGTATCCATTAGTGTGCAGTTCCTCCGTATCTAGCTCGCCTTCTACGAACAGCGATGACTGCAATTCGCCAGACACTTCTCAAGAAAAGTTAAAGAACAACAGGTAAAAAATCAATTAAAGTTTGAAGTAAAGCTTGAAATGATTTGCTTTGTATAACCTATAAAATATTTGTGCAGGGTAACTCAGAGTAATGCTGGCGCGCCTGTTTCTCTTAGTTGTATCAAACTTAATCATAATATGATCACAAATGTAATAGATAAAACGCCAACGCCTCCGCCTTTACCAGAACGTTCAGATAGTCTACTTGATAAACCTGATGAATGCGAATTGAAAAAAGCGCCTTGGTTTCAAGCCGGTATTCCAAGGTTTGTTGAAACAAATTATTCCTACGAGCTTTCTATTTTCCAGTAAAAATTATTAATTAATCAGCTTACCTTTTACTTTTACAGAGAAATTACATTGGAAGTTCTAAGTCAAGAGCCTGTCGGTGCTTTCATGGTTCGAGAAAGTACCAGCAAACCAGGGTGTTTTGCTTTATCTCTTAGAGTACCTAAAGAATTTCATCCTCTAGGAATCGCTCATTATTTAATATTAAGGACTAATAAGGGATTTAAAATTAAGGTAAATTTCTTTAAAATTAATGCGCCCGGCCAATCTCAATTAATACATATTTGATTTTCAGGGTTTTACAAAAGAATTTACTACATTAACTTCTCTAATAACCCATCATTCCGTTATGCCAGAACTGTTACCATGTCCATTGTCATTAAGTCGGTATAATCCCACATTTGTTAAATCGGATTCCAATCAAGATTTTGCGGATATAGACGATGATCCAGATTACAATACGCTCGCCGATTTTAGAAAAATGATGGCTAATTTAAATGTTTAACATTACGTACTCGCATAAGATTTAACAATTCAATTTAACTAACTAAAACACAATTGCCAGATAATTTGGTGGTTGCTAAAATTATTTTTTGTTGTATTACTTTTAATCAATACTTTTTTTTGAGGTATACTTAATAATTTATTGTTAATAGTCAGTTAACGTTTTAAAATATAAAAATAGTCAATAGTAGCTCAAATTATTATTGACTAGTGATATTTTAACACTATTTGAATAATAATAAAAAAAACAATGTACATTGTTTAAACTTTAAAGAAAATAATTCTTTAGCATTATCTATAAAATAATATTTTTATTGCATTTTTTTTATCAATCATCATTTATGGCGAATGTGCAAAATTTAATTTCTAGTACTTAATTAAAAATTGAGTTATAACCAAATTAGTCAAATTAACTTTTGTAAAGTAAAAATAAATCGTCATTCCTAGTCTTGTGTGATAGATTGAGTTTTTTTTGTAAAATAAATGTGTTTTTGTGTATTCAATTGTGTTTATTCATGATTGTCCTAAATGATTTGATTTTGTTGGAAATCGTGTTCTTTAACATACATTTTTTTTTTTTTTTTTTTTTTTTTGTTTCTTTTAATAGATAACAGTTTTTGAAATAAGTTAAATTTTATTTAATGACCATTTTCAATATAAATAGCAAACTGAGACTTATAGACACAATTTTTTATAGAGCCGCTATAAATTTGAAAAATGATTAAATAAGAACAGAATTAGCAAAAAACTACGTCATTTATAGATATAAAATCGATATATAATAGATAAAAAATTTTGTTTTTTATAAATATTATGTGATTTTTTTATGATAATAATGATAATAACATACTACATATTCTTTTATTATAATTATAAAAAACGGCAATAACAAAGGAGGGGGCGATTTACCTAACACCCATTTTATAACCGCCACTGTTAAGAACAGAGACATGTCTTAAAATACATTGATCAACGTTAAGGGCGTGTGTATTGTGCTTTCGCACGTGATCCCACGCATAAAAAAACTTCACAAACTAAATTGATAAGTTAAAAAATTACTTTTAACTATAAATGAAAAAAAAAGTATCATGCTAAAATATTTTTTACTGCAATTTGTAGTGCCGGTTCTGTGTAAAAATTCTTAATATACAAACCGACATTAAAAAAAATAACTCTTTTTTTATATTCTAACGACATATTTTTCTGTATAGTGTCTTCTTGAATAATAACTATACAAACCGGAGCTATAAAATTAATTCTTTAAGTTCTAAAAATGATTATTAAGTGTTATATTTTAATTATTCGCGTGTCTTGTGATAAGATAATGACCTTTTTTCTCAGTGGTAGTCATTACGTAACAATATTGATTTACGACGATTAGTGAAAAAATCACTGGGTACATTTTACTATTGTAAATTTGGTACTTAAAGACATCAATTTAGAATAGTAATTTAATATTGATAAATAAAAATATGTTTTAATTATTGTAATTAAAAAATATCTTCATATTAAAACTAAAAATTATTTTTTTAAAATACGTAAATTGATATTTTTAAAATTATTAAGTGTATAGGCTCAAAATAGTACAAACAAATTTTAAACAAACCTTATCACATTTGAAGTAACATGACGAAAATGTGTTTATAAAATATAATATATTCGTATATTTCAAGCTTATAATCTTAGTTATAAAATAAATATTTAGAAATTAATAAAAATAATATAACACTTTTTTTGAATAGTATTTTAGTAATAAAAACATAAAACAAAAACGATGGCACAGTGTGGACGAGGCATAGTTAGGACAAGTATAGATGACATCTGACAGTGATTAAGATCACTTTCATAAGTAACGTTTCGATGCAAATCTGTAGGTAGTGTTTAATTTTAAGAAATTGGTGGATTATTCCAAAAGCAAAATAAACTCTTATTTCCTTCATTATCCCTAATTAGCAGTTCTTTTATTTATAAGTATAATACATGAATAAATATTTATTATAGAAATTAAGAATAAAATTTATATCTAACAATAAAGCATTGTAGTTTTTACGGAAAAATTATAAAAAAGTTATAAAATAGTTATTACTTTTATGGCAAACGTAATTTTTTTTTCATAGTAAAGTATGTTACATAAGTTTTAATTTAAGATATATAAAAATTTCCCCATAGAGGAAAGGGTGTCGTCGGGACAAATTTTTTCTTTAAACTTATAGAATTTATCATAATTTTTAATTGGCCATGTATTTAAAGCTCAGTATTTACGGAACATTTTTAAAAGTTAAGTTGAAAAAGTTCTATTTTTTACTAGTATTTTTAAAGATTTAAACACCCCTGTATAAAAGAAAATGGTCCGATTAAAAAAAAGAAAGTATGCTAAATGAAAGAGGTAAACATAAAGTATTTACAAATTAAATTTTATTGATCTATACATTTTTCAAAAAGTTATAGTAAATTAAACTTCAAAAAATAAAATATGAAATCTTAAATTTTAATACCATAATTTTTATCTAAGACAACCATTTGCACATAGAAGATAAGTCGACGAGACAATTTTTTTTTTTTTTTTGAATTATTAGTCTATAACATAAATTATAATAAATATTATTACCGGAACATTTTCGAAACATAAGTTGAAAAAGTTAAATTTTTGTGCAGAAGTTGCTATTTTGAATCCCCCCTGTGGACACGTAAAAGGGCAGGTTTTCAACAAAATTTTATCAAATAAAAGGAAAATATCTAAGATTTCAATTTAAAAAAAGAGTTTTTTGATTCGTTTATTTCTCAATAAGTTATGACAAATTTTAGAAAAAAATGTCAAAATTTATCGATTTAAAAATCGTAATTTTTTGGTGAATTTTCACCATTTACAGGGAACAAAGGAAATTTTTTTAATTTTCGAGGGTTATATCTTCATCTAGATACGATTTGTGATCTTTTGACGTATCGTTGAGAAAAATCAATCCAGTGAGAGCTAAGAAAAAGTAGTGACAGACATAAATATATAATAAAAATAAACATATCATGGTAAAATTATTTATTACCTTCTCAGATTTGCATTGAAGCTAAAAAAAACCTTTGTTTATAAATAAGTTTAAAATGTTGTATTATTAAATATTAACTGTTAACTATTGCCATATTAATGTTATTCTATAAAAATAATATCTTGACATGTTCTATTTTCATCCTAAAAATATTCAAGATAGTTATTTGTTTAGTTCAGCTACTGTATTGTTATATAGTATATATATTTTTGTCATAGCGAAACATTCTATTTATATTTGACTGCTTTAAATGATTACTTGTAATAAAAGTATTAACTATCGATTTTATGGCAAACAAGTATTAAGCTATTTATATAAACAATGTTATTCTATGTACACATTGTATTCTTTATACATTTGTATATTTATACATAAATTTACAAAGAGTAGTCATTGTAATAACTTAATAATTACACAAAAAACATTATTTTTTGGTAAGTTATATGAATAAGTTTTTATTTTTCAATATTTCAATTTCTATTAAACAATTAACACAACAACAACAAAATGGGTGTAATTTATTAAATACTTTCAACTCTTAAACGATAAATGAACAAATATTTTAAAGTATACTTGAATAGTAGGTGGCTTGAATAATATCTTGTAGGCTGGTTTTTTTTTTTTATTTTAAGACGGTTAAGGAAAAAATTTTCGCACTATTATTCATTTTTAAGTCATTCTTAATAATTAAAAATAATAAAAGTTGTTATAATTTAAATGCGTGTATTTCAAAAAGTTTAACATCAATAAAAGTAAAAATTTATTTAAAACAATTTATTTGATTTTCGCCTTTAATTGTTTGTTTAAATAATGTTTAATAAGTTCACTCTTTCTATGATAATGTCGTGCTCAAGTCAGTAGTTTATAATTATTTTACTTTTAGGTTATATAGAAAAATGATTTTATTATTTCAAGTAATTATTCTTATAGTAAGTATATAAAACTATTTCAATTAATTTATTTTATCTATATCATTAAACAATTACCGTTTGTATTTATCAGAACATTAATTTTTTTACAGTAATAGTCAAAAGTTTAGGTTTTTTATTTTTATTTCATTTATATAATCTATACAATATTAGTATAATAAGCATAAAAGATAATAATGATTATTTGACATATTTATTTTGCGAAGAGAAAATGTCCCATCATAATACTTTTTTTGAAATGATATAATTTGTAGTGAAATTTTTTTATTTTTATTGTTGGATAAGAAGATCTCTTCACCATTTTTGGGAGGATTTCCAGGCATTGTAGGTAAAGTGAGATCTTTTACTAAAGAATTAGGATGGTTAAGAAGGGAATGGTGCTATCAAGTAAAATGTTCCTTAACAACTAACAATACTGTCTTTCATTGCAAGTCTGAATGTATGGAATAGTTTGTAACGTATTTGTGGTTAGTCGAAGTTTTAATTTACAGTGTAGAAAACGTTTGATTATAAAGAGGCGTGCGTTTAATTTGATTTTAGTAAAGTTTATATGATGTGACCAATTAATTTTTTTGTCAAGATGGTATATTAAAGTATTTCGCAGTATTTGAAGTTGAAATTTGAATATTATTCAAGTAAACTTGTGGACCGAGCCTTTTTTTTAGTGTAAAAGTAGTAAGATTTATTTTCGTTTATTATAATCCTCCAGTCATGATAACAGGATCGTAAGTTGGAATTGCAAATTATCTGAGAATTTTCATTAACGGAAATGATAAGTTTGTCATTGGCATACTCTACTACAATTGTTTAAGGATGAGTTGATTGGTTACCTGTAAATATGTTAAATAGAAGGGTAGCAGATATAGCACTTTGGGGTACTCCTGCCTTTATATCAGATTCCATTAAAAAAGTTGATTATTGGCGTATTGAAAAATGATATTTTGTGACATACAATTTAAAAAAAAAACCTAGCCCAAGGTGGTGCGGCACAGTGGAGAGATGGCATAGTTGAGTCAAGTATAATGATATATGTCAGTGATTAAAATCACTATCATAAAAAACGCTTCGATGCGAATCTGTAGATAGTGTTAATTTTAAGACATTGGTAGATTATTTCAATAGCAACAATAACTCTTATTCCCTTAATTTTATCTCGATTAATTATTTTATTTATAATTATAATATATGAATAAATAATAATTATAGTAAATAAATTTAGTATGAAATTGATATTCAATAATTTAATATTGTAATTTTTACGGAGATTATTATAAAAATAATAAAGTAGTTGTATATTTCTTTCCTTTTAACGCGTATAAACATTTTAAGGGCTTGATACAATACTTTTCAATAAAAAAATTTTGTTACTTATAACAAAATTATAAGTTTTATACACTGAACTACAAGAAACTTTCATCAAAAACAAAAATATACTTCAAATATTCTCAACCAACTTTTCGCAATGTTTTCAAATGTGCAATTATATTTTTTCTATCACTTCTAAGTTTTAATATTATTACTTATTATTAAAAAATAAATGAAGACAAATCCAAGTGTTAAATTTTTTTTTTCAAATTAAAGTATATTAAACGGTAGCACAGTGGGGTCGCGGCATAGTGGAGACATTGCATAGTAGGGTCCAGTATAGATTTAATCTGACAGTGATTGAAATCACTATCATAAGAAACGCTTCGATACAAATCTGTAGATAGTGTTTAATTTTAAAAAATTGATGGATAATTGCAAAAGCAACATCAACTTCTATTAAAATAAAATACAAAACCCATAATTATCATACAAAAATAGTATATTTTTCAATATGGTAGCCATTTGCGTATAGAAGATAGATCGTCGGGACAAATTTTTTTTTT